TTTGTCACTGTCACTTCAGGGGACACCAAGCCTGCTTTGGCACGTCCTTTCAGCGAGGAGGGCAGGGAAAAAGGGGTTTCATCCTTCTGCCCTCCCTGCCCACGGCCAGCGGGTTGGAACAGAGAGAATAGGGTGCCCTCTGCCAATGCTGCCGTGGTGCTGGAGAGGGAAAGCCAAGGCCATGGAAGGGTGAGTGTGGTGGTCCTGGCGGGCTGTGCCCGTGCCTCCTTGCACATGTGGAAGTGGGAGGAGGGTGTGCGCGCCCGTGGGAAATACATATGTATATTTACTATTGAATGTACAGGGGAAGTACACGGCTTGTCTTCCTGGGAGGGGGTGTGCTCGAGTAAATGCCAGAGAGCACAGGGACTTGTGCTGAGAGCCGAAGACAAGACGTGCGAGGCTGAGCTGCGTGTGTACGTGTACGTGTGCCTCTGTGTGAGAGAGAGAGATACTAGCACGGGGCAAAGCTGGAATAGCCTAGGGTTTCCCATCCCTGCAGTTGTAGTGACAGCTTTCCTGGTGCACCTAGTATCGTGAAGAGTGGGTTTTTTTTCTTTCCATTGTATCATTTTAGATGCAAGTTAAACTAAAGGAAAGGGAGCAATGGTAGGAGTGAGAAGCCGAACTCCCCTTTCGCATGTCTTCTTTCTCCCGAGGTGGGGATGTGAGCCGACCTCTCCCGTCCTGGGAGATACGGCAAAGTCCCTCCTGCCTGTCCGGGGTCCAACCCAGTGTCTGGAGGACCGTGGCTCACCAGGGGAAGGGTTGAGAGAGCCCCAGGCTGAGGGCACGGGGACATGCTGGGGACCGGCTCCGAAGGAGATGGCAGCCCCGTCTTTATGAGCCACATTTCTTGGAGCGGAAAGCCACCTCTCACATTCCTCACCGCACCCTGGTTGATTTTATCTTATCTTTCTCTTTTTAAGCCAACAGAAGGCCTTTTATTTATTTACCTATTTATTTTATTTATTTTTTAAAGCTGGGGCAGGGGGAGGGTGGGATTTGCCTGTAAAGTCAAAGAGTGTGAGGAGAGGGTGGGCAGGGTTGGTGAGGGGAGTATTTTCTTATATTTCACTAAGGAAATGAAGAAGGGAAGAGGGGGAGAGTCTTTGTAATGCCACCCCTTAGTCTTTGGGGTAAGGGAACTTCGTATTCTTTCCCTTTTCTCTCATTACAAGGACAAAAAGGAAAAGAAAAAAGAAAAAAAAAAAAAAGAAACCAAACAAATTAACAGTGATCTGCAATCCAGAACACACGGCAGCTTGTCAGATGCCTCTGACAGCGGCCACCGAGAAGGCGTTCCTTTCATTTGTAAATATTTCTTTTTTATTGCGTTTTTGTATAAATTGGTGTTTCTCTTCTCGTGAATATTCAGGTCGTGGGGTGGGAGGGAGGGGAAGTTTGTTTCCGTTCTGTTTGTTTTCTACGACTTTTCAGGCTGTGTTTTTGGAAGCGGTTTACGCGGGTCGAGGCCGTATGAATGAGGGAAAAAAAAAAGAGAGAGAGAGAGAGAGAGAAACCCATGTGTGTTGTGTTCCCCCGAGGCCCCCCGTATCGCCCTGTCACCTTTATCTTCATGAACGGAAGACGCCGGAACGTCACTTCAAGCCTTGCCAGCAGGGTTTCATGTTTTGATGGGAAACACCCCCAATTCCTTTTTGCATATAAACTCTCTGTACCAGCATCTCTCTGTGGAGTTTGGGCCTCAAGGCACTACGCTGTCTTGATAGTGGTGGGGTGAACCATCAAGTTGGCCGCTCAGGTTGGACCATCACTTTGACATTAAGAGACTTCTCCAATGCTACTTTGGTTTAGAAATCTTGGACCTGGGGAAGCTCGTGATAATTTCTGGTATTTCCTAAGGGCTTGGGGGGAAGCTTGACAGCTGGCGAGGGCAGCTAATCTCTTTGGTGGTTATCTTGGTACTTTTCCGTCCTTCCCCACCTGGAACGAGGAAACCTGGAGGGTGGCTCTGCAGGGAAATTAAGCCGAAAACAAACCAAAAAGAAGTTAACGGAACTTTTTTCAAATCTCTTCTTAAAGGTTCTGATTTTTGTGTTCCGGGGTGAAAGTTGGTTCGTATTTTCTCCGAACTGGTCTGTCCCTTGTTCCGCTAATCGGCAAATGATAGTTTGCCAAAATCATTATCTAGTGTTGATACTGTTGTAGCACTGTTGACACTCGGAGTGCTCTGCAAATATTAACTGTGCCACAAACCACTCAAATGCTCTAGGGCAACCAGAAAAGAAGAACTGGAAATTCTGGACTGAACCACTGGTCTAACCACAGGAGCCTGGTATTTTGCCTTCTCCCACAATAGATTAGGCCACGTGTCCATCAGGTTAATCCTTTCTCCTATAAGCGATCTTTTCTGGTTGCTTTGTTTATTTTAGTTCTGACAGGTCAACAAGTTTTGGGACAGAGATGAAGGGGAGGGGGTGGGAGGGGGGAGGGTGTAATTCATAATTCAGAAAATAAATCGATGATGTTATTAAACTCTGATTATATATTTAGAATTTTAGATTTGGTGTATTTTCATTCTAAGTACTCGAGTGAATCGATCAGGTAATATTAGCAGCAGGTGTTGTCTATACTAGAAAACCACCCACATGCTGTTTATTACCTGTCCAGCAAAGAATGGGATTGCATACCAGAGCCTGACAAATCTCCGTGTCCCCTCCCTTGCCATTTCTCTCTCTCTCCTGTAGAAACACCAGTATTTTCTGGGGCAGTGGCTGGGAACATTTCCCCTCTCTGAAGGTTTCTGCGCACAGGAATACCAAGCAAAAACCATTGCGTCCTCTACAGTTTGGTGACCTCTACCGTGTATTTGCAGCCAGCCTCCCGGGAAAGACTAGGCACCTTTGGCAATGTTTCTGATATTTGCCTCCTCGCTCTAGCCCCAGGCATGGCTCTCTGAGAGGTATTTCCATGAGCCATGTTCTTCTGAAGTGGTACTGGAATGTATGTACTCAGCTGGAGGAGGACGTGTATGAGGGAGACGGAGGAAATACTCAAAAAAACGTCAGAAATGTGCCATGCACGGTGGAAAGCAACTGGCAGGTAGAACTTGCAGCCGTGGATCTCCACATCATACACCTTCTTGGAGCATTCACACCAGCTTTTTACTGTAGCGCAACACAACGCAGACTGGCCTAGCAGTTCCCTGTCTCCCATCACGCCTCCCAGTGAGGGCAATATCAGAACTTGCCGTGTCGCATCGTAAGTAGGAAGGAAAAGCTGCAGTCAGGACTTGTTGTCAGTCGAGACAATGAAGCATACCGGCCCCACCTCCTCAGCAAAAAAACATCCCATTCTCTGAGATCCAGCATGCGTTGTCAGAACTGGCCAGGCGAGAGCCCTGATGGGTTCAAAATGCTCAGCAATATGCAGGTATGAACTTTGCCTGTAGGGAATTGATATTTCAGTTTCCAGGGTGTGGGGGGGAGGAAGGTTCCTTTGTGATGTCCTGAAGGATTTGGTGGAGGAGTTAAGAGTTGCCAGGATGGGCCTCTTTGCTTCTGACTTCTTCAGCAACGCATGCTGATGTTGAGCTCCTCACTCCAAGAAGACACTAGCATCCATCTTGAATAAAGGCCCTTTGTACCTTCAAATCAGGGTTGTTTCTCACAGCAACATTGCCAGCAAAAGAGAGAGAGGGAGACAGAGAATGGGTATGATGGTGGTGACAGGTTAGAGTGATCAGAGATACCTCAGGGATCTTTATAGGCAAGTCTTTGCTTTAGAGCTTTCTGTCAAATGTGGCATATCCTCCCACCTCCATTGCTTATCAACAGATGGAAGCAAGCCTGGGAACACAGCCAACGATCAGACTTAGGCCTTTCACACATCCTCCACTCC